AGGGTGGAGGGTTGTTGTTGTTGTTAGAGGAGGCGGAGGAGAAAAAGGAGGACGAGTTGGTGGAGGAGTGGCTGTTGTTGTTGTTGTTGTTGTTGTTGTTGTTGTTGTTGTTGTTGTTGGGGTGGAGGTTGGAATAGGGGGGTTGAGGAGACTGGGAGAGCGGGATGCTCATTGTGTGGCGGTGGTGGATGTTGCCATTCATCTGAGGCTGCCCAGACGCCTTGTTCTGGACACTGTTGGCCATATTGTTGGCCGCGTTGTTGAGATTGTTCTTGGTGGCCGCAGCAGCGGAATCGAGCCCAGACATGGAGTTCCGCCTCTTGTCGCCTTTGCCATCGTTGCCGCCAGCCCGAGGCCACAGGGAGTTCTTGGGGAACAGGTTGGCCAGGGGAGAATGCCCGGCAGAGCGGTTGTACGGCGGCAGCACAGGCGCAAGACAAGGGCTGAGACGCCACTTGACCCAGCTGTCCGGGTCGTAAAAGTCGACGGGGTACGGCTCGCCCGTCTCGCGGTCGACGAAGCAGAAGCCGTCGTCGGGCAGCAGCGTAAAGGAGGTGCGGATGCTGAAGTTGACCTGCGCCGTCAGCAGCTTGTCGTTGAAGAGCACCGCGTCGCCGTTGCGCAGCGGGCCGAGGATATTGATGCACCGCATGGGCGTCCCACAGAACAAGACGCCGGCGAAGAGGTGCGGCTGCTGGTTGACGGCGTGCCGCGTGATGAGCCCGCCTAGGCTGTGCGCGACGACGATGGCGCCGCGCTCCTCGGCAGGGACGCCCGGCTGGTTCGACGGCAGCGTCGCGAGAAAGTCCTGCAGCCGCTTCGACAGCCGTGCCGGGCTCAGGCGCCAGTCGTAGCCGTAGTCCCAGACGCGGAGGCGCCCCGTCCGCGCGTTCTCGCACGAGCGCAGCTTCTTGAAGAACTTGCGCGAGATGTCAATGGGGCCAATGTGCTGCAGCATGCCCGACGGGATGATGCGCTTCTCCATCGTCTCCTCGTCCTCGTCGTCCAGGCCGACCTCGAGGTTCGCCTTGCGCATGTTGAGCCCCAGCTTGACCGGCGCCCACAGCTGCTGATGGGGAGGCTCGGCCGACCGCAGGATCGAGCCGCGGTAGCCGCCCATGACGACAATGTCGCCCGTCAGCTCTGCCAGCACGCGGTCGAGGCGCTCCGAATCGTCCTTGTCCTTGTCCTTGTCCTTGTCCTTGTCCTTGTCCTTGTCCTTGAGGTCCCTGTCCTGCTCCAGCTGCTGCTTGGACTGCGCCGCCGGCTCGTTGGAAAAGATGTTGTTGAGCGAAATGGTGGACCGCCGCGACACGGCCTGCAGCTTGGCCAGCGTCGGCATGCTGGGCATCTTGAAGTTGGGCACGTCAGGCAGGCTGTCCTTGATAGCCATGAAGCGCACGTTGACCTGCTCGCGGACGTCGGTGAAGCGGTTATCGTCGCCTAGCGAAGACGCGCGCGACAGGCTGTGGTAGAGCATGCTGTCGTCGGACGTTGTCCTGCGCAGCAGCGGCGGCCGCAGCGCTTCAGAGCCGGCACCGGCATCGGCATCGGCATCGGCCGAGCTGCGAGGTGGAGGAGGGGAATTGGTGGGAGACTGAGAAACAGAAGCATGGCCTCGACGTCGAGAGGCGAGTGAGCGACTGCGCTGGTGTTTGCCGTCGGTCAAGCTCGAGAGAAACGATCTTGGCCTGGAGAGCGAGGGGAGAAAGTTGGAGGGCGCGCTGAGTGATGGAAATGCTTGCTGAAGCTTCTTCAAGGCTTCCTGGCCGGCTGACCTCGACCGCTGGCGCGTGGGCTCAAATGCGGCATGTAGAATCCCGCGAGCATCGCTCAGGGGTCTTGTGTCCTTGCTGTGCTGCTGAGACTTCCACGGAGACGGAGGCGCATATCGTCTGGTTTCGCTCTTGGGTGAGGGGACAGAATCCAGCTGTATGATGGGCTTCCGCAGGGTGCGTGGAGGCGAGCCGGACTTGGGTGATGTCGCTGCCTTTGGCGTCGTATCTCCTCCGTCCCCCT